AGAATGGGAGAAAATCTTCACCAGTGATACATCTGACAGAGGTTTAATATCCAGAATATATAACGAACTCAAAAAACAGAGTTAAGACAAGAAGACACCCAGTAAAAGATGGGCTAAGGAGCTGAAGAGAGAGTACTCAAAAGAAGTAGTAAAGATGGCTATGAAGCACCTTAAAAGATACTCAACATCACTAATAATTAGGGAAATGGAAATTAGCCAGTCAGACTGGCTAAGATCAAGAGAACAAATGATACCAAATGTTGGAGAGGATGTGGGGAAAGGGGAACACTCATCCACTGCTGGTGGGGCTGCAAACTTGTTCAGCCCCTATGGAAAGCAGTGTGGAGAACTCTTTTAAAAAACTACAAATGAACCTACCATTTGACCCAGTTATACCACTCCTTGGCATATACCCAAAGAACTCGTACTGTTGCAGAGACACTTGTACATCCATGTTTGTTGCCGCTCTTTCACAATAGCTAAGAGATGGAAACAACCTAAGTGTCCCTCAATTGACGAGTGGATAATGAAAATGTAGTTCATTTATATGATGGAGTTTTACTCAGCAGTAAAGAATGATGAAATCATGAAATTTGCAGGTAAATGGATGGAACTAGAAACTGTTATACTAAGTGAAGAAACACAGACTCAGAAAAAAAATCGACATATATTCTCTCTCATATGTGGATCCCAGAATCAAACCCTGATAAGTATGTATTCAGACATAACTACAGGAACCAGGATAATGGAAAGGAACCAGAGAGGTAAAGGAAAAGAAGGAACCTGAAAGAGAAGAACAGTAGGAAACAGGCCTTAATAAGGGAGATATGGATAAAAATTGGGTTAGTTTAAGGGAGGGGAGAGGGTAGAGTATACAAGGAACCTAGGGGATGAAGGGAAAGAAGGAGCTCAAGAGAGGTAGGACCATAAAAGGGTATTATTAAGGGAGAAAGGGGGAAACCATGATGGAGGGGCGAGACAGTGTGAGAGATAAATAATGCCTAGCTAATTTTAAAAACCAGAGGGAACCATATTACTTCAACAACCTACTGACAAATTATACATACCAGATCAAGAAATATATGTCCAGGTAAGGTTTATCTGAGAACAATTGGTCTTTGCCCAAGATTTATCTACTCGACATGCAGTAATTAAAAGTACCAGACTGGTGGAACTAACCTTCTTTGATATTTAACAGACATTCTTTGAGGCCTATAATAATTTGGTCAGAGGGGCATAAAGGACACTTTTCGCTCCAGGGTACTATGAGCATCTCTCAAAATGTCCTATAATGGTGGTGGGTCACATGTCCTCTTGATCAAGGAGGCTGAGGAGACCCCACCAGATGGACTTGAACCAGTGTCCAGTCTACAAAG